CCGGTAGAAAGTGCAAGAAATGCAATTTTAAAATATCTTAAAATAGTTAAAACAATTGATGCATTTGATACTCCCTCTAAAGGTATCCAGGAAGTAAAAAATTATCAAGACTTGCATAATCAATTTGCTTATGATATAGTATTCATTAGGCTTTATGAAAAGAGCAAAGAAGAAATCATGAACTTTTTATTGAATCTAAGAGAAATGGACGTGTATGGCAATAATTTATTAATAATCTTTATAGTATCTCCGGGTGATAAAGGAAAGACATTGGTTGATAATTTGATTTCGAAGATTGGAGGGCTATTATTTACTCTCCAATTACTTGGCAAAAACTTACAAATTTGTTATCGAATGTAAGAGATGATGATACTATTGAGAGTAAAGGTATTTTAAAAGAGTAGTCGACTATAAGGTTCATTAAGTTTGTGATACAAAATCGAGATTTATGTGAAGGTGTAAATAAGATAGTTACTATTTTCATTATATTATTTTTATTATTTATTTTTTCAACTTATCTTCCAACATTTCAGTGTTAGATCAAAAGGGTTTAATACTAAATTAGTTATTCTTTTTTTTTCTTTTCTATCCGAATTAGTTTTACTATTAATTGGATTTTTTTTTGTAATTTCGTGTCAGAAGTAGAGATTGTTATTGCTAGCAAGAATAATACAGATCTTTGATGTTTTTTGATATTCCGAAAAAAACAAATTTAAATTCTTTAGCTTTAAGAGTTTAGAGGTTGGAATCAACTTAATTTTTAAATTCGAATTTACGTGTGGTGATTGAAAAGGTTTAAACTTAGATTAATATCTCAATTATTTTTAAAAATACAATTTAATTTAATATGCTTAAATATAGTGGTTTAATAATTCTGTAAAAAATTTTGTTAAGTTTTAATCAGATAGTTAATAAAAAAATTGGATTTTAAGTTTATTAGGCAATTGGAGTTTATTTATTAAAAAATTCTAATAAAAAATTTATAATTTAAAATAATAATTTGTAGACAATTATCATTTATCACCATGGCGATGCATCGCCACTAGGGTTGGGGCATCGGGTGTGATTTCAAATTGTCTCATTGGCATGGGGATGTGATATTATTTATCACATGTAATTACTAATTACATGTGATGTTTTACTAATTAGTGCATGCAATGATTTAGGGTGTTATGCTGGACCCCATGTGATGTTTTTCCGTGCCCCAACCCTAATCACCACCCTGATCGACCAATTATTTTATTTTACATTACAGCGCTTTCAAATTACTGTGATCAGTGATTTTTATACATCACACCGGGAATCAGAAATCTGGAAAAAATGCCAATACATGATTGGATAAAAAATATTTTTAGCCAATCACAGATTTGCATTTATTCTAGATTTCTGATTTCCGGTGTGATGTATGAAAATCACTGATCACAGTAATTTGAAAAGCGCTGTAATCAAAACAAAACAATTAGGGTTAGAGTTTGGCAGCACAAAACTTAAAAGGCCTTTCTAATCTAAAATTTTACAAAAAAAATTGTTGCTGATGCTGAAAATGGCTGATGGTGAAATTTTTTCATATTTTATTATAAAATTATAAAAAATTTTTGGGCCTTTTTTTTACACTTTTTTTTCATAGTTAGGTTAGGGTTAGTAGGGTAGTTTTATTAATAAAAAAGTATATGTGGATTTTAGTAGATATTATAGATTTAAATAGAGACCCCAAATTTCAGCATCAGCCGTTTTCAGCATCAGCTGCGACAAAAATTTTTTTCAAAAAAATGTATGAAATTTTATGTTAGAAGTGATTTTTTAAAAAAAGTTTGCTTTTTTTCAAAAAAAACATATATCAACTCTTTCTGATGATTACTAAAACCAAATCTTTCTACTAATAGAAAAACAAAAAATTTTTGTTGGAGAGTCATGGCCTATGTTATGGTTTGTCTAGAAGTCAACATTAGCTGTGTTTTGGTACTTCTCTATAATTCGACATTTGGCATGCAAGCCAAGAGCATTATTATACAAGATAATAGGCAGGAGATACCCTTGTATAAAAAATCTTGTTGGAGTGTGGGCAAAGAGCTCACTTTCGTCAACGAAGTTCTTAGATCATTACTTAAAAGAAAAACACAGGGGAAACAACAAAACTTTTTTTCTAAAGCTGACTCTTTCTTTTGGGTTTGGTGACTCTCTTCTTTCTTTCTCTCACCCTCCTGTCGGTCTTTCAAAATTTTTTACAAAAAGTGGGGATTTGGCTTACCCCCTCCAAAAGATCAGCATTGTTTATTTTCCAAATTTGGATAGACTCAGTAGAATGCAACCACGTAACATGTCTGTTTATAAATATGGCGCTATTCCGGAAGTTGGATCAGGACCTCCGGTTAAAGAGATATCCGAAGGTGGTCATAAGTCAAAAGAATTTTATATGTTAAGGCGAAGCTTTACACTAGAGATATACAATTGTTGCATTTGTTATATAATTTTTTAGCCTTTCATAGGTTATAATAGTGCATTCTGGTTATGTGAAGAGGTGAAATTCCTCTTGAATTGTTATCTTTTTTTTATAAAAGTTTTTTTATTTTTTCACTTTTTTCTTTTTTTGGGTTTTTTTTATTTTTATATTTCATTTATTTTCCCTATCCCTCCTTTTATATTTCCTTTTTAGTTATAGGTTGTTTTCTTTTTTTTATAGATTTTTTAATAAGATAATTCTGATTTGTCCATGAACTAGTGCAACAGGTTGCATTTAGAACCGTAGGTAACCAAGTGAAGTTGGGCTTTGAGTCCTATAAATTAAATGTATATAGCTCCTATACACATTTTAATAAAAAGCAAGCCATGGCAAAACCCATAAAGATTAAAAAAAAAAGTTTGCTTTGCTTTGATTTCATATTACATCAGATCTTACATCCTGATTGATTAATTAGGGGTGGCAATACATTACCATGGTGATAAATGATATAAAAAAGTTTAATATACTTCACATCCCTGTAATAAGGTTATATATCGCACCTTAATATAATTGGCTAATTTTTTTTTTTTTGGCATTAAGGTGACCTCTTTGGCCAGAAACGTTTTATTAAGTAGATATAACATTATACAATTACAACGAGAGTACATATAGCCACACGTGCACCTTTTGAGTGTCTAATTTAAGTAGTCCAACCGAAGGTTCTACACTATTTGCCATACCTGCACCTAGTGTATAAAATCTATGTGCACAGTGTGCTCAGCGCACATTTTTTTGAAAAGTTTTACATATTTTTGGCCTGAAATGTGCACAAGATTCACCAACTTTTCAAAAATATAGTGCACCAAATTTACTAATAAAATATTAACTATGTGCACATAGAGCACATTGTGCATATTATCAACATAATTCAATTGGTAAAAAAAACTATATAGAAAGTATTTTATATCCATGTAATTAACATATTTATATGGTTTGATTTTTAATTTTCTAAAGAGTTTATTAACAACATATGGTTAGCTGCTTAATGATATCATACAAAATTAAGAACAAATAGTGTTGTAATATTTAAGTAGTAAATTTATTTACATTTATACAAATATAATTTACACTTTATACTGAGTCTTGTAATTTTCAAACTACAAATAATTAAATTCTTTATTTTGTTAATATGCAAATATGTATATAAGAAACTTAAAAATATTGATTGTATTGTATTATAAATTGATAACAAAAAATACTATTCAATAAGACAAAAAATATATTAAAATTGTTTAATAATTTAAACTATTTAATATAATAAATTTTATAGTGCACATATTTTAAATTTGTACACATACTTTTATTATATAATAAAAATTTATAGTGCACTAATTTTTAAAATTGTTCACATAAATTTAATATGCACTGTGCACAACATTCACATGTTTTTGAGTTGAGATTTTATACACTGCCTGCACCCCAACTAGGGGTACCCATTTAAACCCTCTAGTTCTAACTGTCAGTTACTTCTACCTAACCAAGGTGTAACTCACTATTCGGTTGTAGCTTTTGCGACACCTGTAGATTTTGCACTCATATTAGGATTTACTAACTATCTAAAGCTAGTCTATCCACTAGGTAAACCTAACAGAGTGGTTCATATCCCACACATATATTTCCCTGCATGTTCGGTAACTTCTTATCTAACTAGTACATATTGTACTCCCACCACAGGTTCGTATATCAAGCCAACTTTTGGGGTGCTGCCGTAATCCAATCTGTATCTCAAGCACAACCTTTCTAATTAGTCACCCATTACGTACTCACTGCCATTGTAAGATTCCCAACAACCCCAGTACCTGCATTTGGAACCGTCTCTCTATTGGTCCCTCTTTTACTTCTAGCCGGCAACCCAGATGAGTGGTCTGCTCAGGCTTTAGATGCCTGAAGGATGCCCTCCCCTTGGTCCATACTTTTGGAGCATATACCCTTTTCCTCTGGTGTGACAACCCGGCGGTTCGGCTAGTGTGTCCTCTGCCATTTAGGACCTGGTCGCTCGGTTCTCTGATCTCAGGCCCTGGTTTGAATTCAGCCCTCCTGTGGTATCGTCGAAGATTATTGCTACATCCCAACTCGGGACTTGCCAAACAGGTTTTTGGTTATTCTGGTTTCTCGGATTTATTGTGCCAAAGCTCCTATTACTAGATAGTGTGACCAAGATTACAAATTAAAATCCAACTGATAATCGACAACTGTTAACCATAATGTAGATCCATTTTTCAAAATCATCACTCGTGGAATTTGAACTCTAGAAGGGCCCCAAATATACTGATTAGAACCTCATTATACGGAAGTACCAATTTTAAGGGAAGGTTCGACAGTTATTAGTGTACAGATATAGAAATTTTGCCAAAAGCTCAATGTACAGAATTTAATAAACCAGTTTTTTACTTCCACATACAGATTTATAATAAATTTTACTATCATGTACAGATCTGCAATAAATATTTACCTCAATATACAGAATTGTTTAAAGAGTTTAGTATACAGAGATGTTAAAATGATAATTTTTGTAAAAAAAAAATTTTAAAAAATTAAAACAAATAACAATATCTAATAAACAAGATAAGAATCTAAGTACTGTACAACAAAAACAGCTTGATTAGTTTGGAATAACAAGTAATATTCAGGAAAATAGAACTCAACATTTAAATCAAAATTCAGCTAAAAGAACTCGAAATGAAAATGCAGAATTAAATATAGCAGAAATTCTTCAGCAACTTGATGGTTTATTGGGACAATCTTCATTAAAAAAAAATTTAGAAGACCAATCATATACTTTATATAATAACAATAAGCATATTTATTGTCATAGTTGTCAAAAACCAATAACTTTACATTGCTTTAATGATGGTACTAGACTAAAAGAACATATTATTACTTCAATGCATCTTAAAAATTCTCAAAAAATTGAGTCAAAAAAAATACGTACCACATTTTTAACAACATTTTTTAGTAATAATACATTAAAAATTATGGATAAAGAACTTAATAACTTTGCTGAAATTACAGTTGATAATAGCACACCAATAGTTATTAACTTAACTAAACCAGATAAAGAGCTCAATAACTTAGCCACAATTACAGTTACTAATAACCAAGTATTTAAAACTGAATAGCATGGTTAGAATGTTTAAATATATATATTATACTTAACTATATTTAAATTTAAATTTATATTTTATTTATTATAGTTTGTAATAGATTTTTTAGAATGAATTATGCAATTTTTGCAAAATATGGTACTTCGATTCTTAATGAAAAAAGCAAAGTTCAATATACAATTTTTCGAAATGATGACTTGTATGATAGATCAGATCATGCAGAAGGCTATTTTAAAAGCACAAAATGTCTTGGGTATCGTTCAAGAAAATAGTGCTACGAATGTGGTCTTTTACCTAAATATGAAGCATTTAACAAAAGAAATCGTGAATATCAAGAGTTACTTGCTCAAATTGATTGCGCTATAATTTTAAATTTAAAAGGAGAATTAAATAGTTTAGTTCGTTGCAAATTAGGGACCTCAGTGCGATGCGAAATAAAATGCAAATTATGCGATGCGATTGGTTCAAATTATGCCCCCGATGCGAA